GGGAAAGAGGTAATTCTGAAACCTAAAGCTTTCAGAAAAGGGCAGGTGTGGATGGGAACGTAGGTGAGGATGCATCATGGTATGATATGATGAACATGACTAGACCAAACTGAGGGAAACGCCTAGCTCTGCCACTTACCTGGACAAGTTTCTTACGTGCCTACATTCCAGCCTTACATCGGAGAGTCGCTGAGAGGTTTATAGATCCAGTATGTACAATGCCACACACAGGGCCTCGCACCTAGTAAAGACTCAAACTCCTACTCCTTTCCTTCATTTCTCCCAATTTTCAGAGGGCAAAAGAAGGACACGCCAAGAGATCAAAAGAAGCTTAAGTAAGAAGGTGGCTAGACACCAAAAACTCTGCCTACTTTGCAATTTTGCCTGGAACCCTGATGTCTAAGCTTAAATGAAAACCACACTCCAAGGCCAGTCTGGCGCTAGTGCCTGCCACATGTCTCCAGAGGCAGTTTTAAGGCAAGGGAAATGTTATGCTGGTTACTCTAGAGCAACACAAGCAGGCAGCCAGGTTTCAAATACCAGAAGCTGCTGGCTGCTTGCAAAGACTTGCAAGGAAAGAGTTTCCTTTGTCTGATTAAAGCCAACATTTTTAAAGGTCAGGTAATACTATATTTATAAGTGACCTGCATCTGTGACCCTACAGATGAAGGAGCAAAAAAAAAAAAAAAGCTGTCCCTGAAGGCCAGCTGATGGCTCCACCCACTTACTGGGGAAAAAAAAAATCAGCAGCACAAGAATACAAGATTATATTTCTTTTCTCAGGTTTTAATCTTTCATTGCAAACTTTCTACTCTGTGTCTTAGAAAACTCTGGGGATTCTCCCCCAGGCTGTTCACTTACTCATAAGGCAGAAGTTACCTGGCATGTCTAAAAGAACAGGTCATTAACTGGAGAGGCCACCAGGAGTGAAAGACCTCGCCGCTCTCTTTCCTTTCCAACCTCTACCAACCTTTAGGCAGACAAAAGATGCAAGAAAGAAGTGGTGAGGTCCCCGTGTTCCCTTGAGTTGGGCCAATAACAGTAAGTCCAGGTGAACAATATACAGTAGCAACCACACATTCTGGGACCAAGAGTACAAAGTGAAGATGGCAAGAAAAGAAACTTCTGTTGGTTAGTTTTCAAGGTTATCTGTTAAGTATAAACAAATCACTATTATTATTTTAATCACAAATATATTTTTTGTTACTTTGTCCAAATGAAAGTATGTAGGGGAAAATATCTAACTTCAGTTCTGGTCTAAAACTTAGTGCCAATTTCCCCACTGAGAGAAGAAAAAGAAGAAACGCTAGAAAACATTATCTTGCTTCTATGAAAAGCTTTAATAAGGGACTTCTAATTGGAAGTTTGAAGCACCGTTTTTCCTGTCAGAAATTCCAGCTGAGGAGAAAGAAAACACTTTGGGGATAAAAAGAGAGGGAAATACAGGCCCAATGTTTTGAAAACGAATGCACAAAAATAATCTGAAATGAGTCGGACTTCAGTGCCTATGTGTCAACATTAAAGTAACAACAAAAGGAAAGTCGGAAAGGCTTTTCTCCAAAATGGATATTATGTTCCAGAAAACCTTTGGATTTGATTTGCATGCGTGGCATCCTTTTGCCTCTGAACTGAAGTATTTTGGATGCTTTTGCCAGGCATCGCTCAGTAGTCACCTGTGTTGGTTTCATTTCTATTGTCCCATATTTATGCTCCACTGCTCACTTCACTGTTTACTAAGCAATTTATGATAATTTCATATTTATTACAGTTTTCACAATGAAACTGTTTCATGGCACCCATCACTCTGTAACAGAACTCCCCATGGGAAGCAAGTCAGATGCAAATCTTCCAGATATACACTCTCCCACAGTGTTGCATCACAAAATAAAAAAGGGCAAACGAACTACCACTTCCACTCAAAATAGCAGGTATCAAGGTGAGAACAGGTAGCTTTTGTTTTAAAACTAAGAATTATAAAGGAGAATGAGCAAGGTATAGAGGGTGAAGAGGGTACCTGACACCCAATATCAACTTTGCAAATCATCAGAAGCCCAGGGATTCAGGTGGGGAAGGCAATTAAAGCTCAGTTGTTTCAAAGACAATGACTTGGAACAGGAAGAAAGTCATACTGATAGCTCGGTATTTAGAAGACTAGGCTTTGGAGTCAGAGGTATCCAGGCCAAATCTCAGTTCCACTAGTTGTGTGACCTCAGGCAAGTTAGTTAACCTCTCTGAAGCTCTGTTTCTGGACCCACAAAAATACTTATATCAAGTTCATGGGCTTTTACAGGCAAACATACACACAGAGCTTAGTGTACTGTTCGTGCACAGTAAACTCAATGAATGGGAGCCATCACTGTTATAGGCTAATGATATCATCATTAAATGTAAGTGCCATGCGGTCAATGATTCTTGTCTAGTTTTGGTCATTGCTAAATTCCAGCAGTGCCCAGCACATAATAGGTATTCAATAAACACTCAACGATTTACCAAAATACAAGTATAATATTCTTCAGAATAGAACAATTGCTATCACCAAGTCCATCATTTTCTAACACTGTCTCAAAACAGCACTTCCACAGACTTGGTAAGAGGCCATACTGTCCACTTGAAAATAACTGCTGTTAAAAACGCACATTCTGCTGTGTTTTTCATTTTGCACAGAGATAGCAACCACTATAATCATCTTTAAACCTGAATCAGAGAATTCCCATGTTGTTCAGCGGTGATGACTCCGTGCTTCCACTGCAGGGGGCACGGGTTCGATCCTTGGTTGGGGAACTAAGATCCTACATGCCACTGGGTTTGGCCAAAAAAATGAAACTAAAATAAAAATATCTATAAACCTGAATCAACACATCTGCCCTAACATCTTTTCACTGCTTTTGAAGACATTATAGCTTTTACTTTTAATGTGTGTGTGAGGCAAATAATCAAAGAACACCCTGATGTTTGCTTCAAAGTTAAAACAAACATTTAGCTGAATGATAATAAATAATGGTCTTTATTTGTAACGTTTTTCTCTAAAATATAAATGCTATCAAGCTGAATGATCCAGAGAAAACAATAAAAACAATGGTCGCATGACCTGGTGTACAGGGTTTCAGTGTAGTGTGAATTTCCAAAAGCAGCTCTCATTACCTTTGCAGAGTGCTCCATGGTGACCACCACTTTGGTTTTGGCACTGGACACTAGATCCATAGCCCCTCCCATTCCTTTCACCATCTTCCCCTGGAAAACAAACAGAAAATAAGAAGTAATTCTTGGGACTTCCCTGGTGGTCCAGTGGTTAAGAATCAGCCTTGCAATGCAGGGGACACTGGTTCGATACCTGGTTGGGGGAATGAAGATCCCACGTGCTGTGGGGCAACCAAGCCTGTGTGCCACAACTAGAGAAATGCCCACGCACCACAACGAAGACCCCACATGACGCAACAAAAGATCCCGCGTGCCTCAACTAACACCCAACACAGCCAAAAAATAAATAAATATTAGAAAAATAAAAAGAAGTAATTCTCTTTCACCTTTTTAGTATGTGGCAGAACAAAATTAACTTGCAGGAAGAAGCCGCTGGAATAATTAGTGAGAAAAACTCATTGACCTTCATTGCTTAGTACCTGAGCTTTATGACCTTAATATCCTGTTGTTCTATTATTCTATGGCTGAAGAATAAGTTCAGGATAAATATTATGGTGTTACATTCACTGAGTATGGCTAACATTACTTTGTCAACGCTATATGAGCAATATGTCAATCATTGGATAAGAAAAAACTTAAGAACCTCTCCAAAATTCTGGGCACATTACTCTTATTACAATAATATGAGACTGAAATCCACATGCCCCTGACATTCATTTCTTTCTTTTTAAACATATACTTGGCACCACTGAGTCTTCAATCACAGACACTTTCTAAAGCACTCTCTTGGATTTCCTGCAGATTAAAATGCCATTAGGTAATAAACTAAGGCATTAGTGGTGTTTCCCTAGTAATGATTAATATGAAAGGTGGGTCTGTCTTTCTAAAACCTGGCACTTATCTTGCTCTTAGAAAAATACATCAACACGAAACAAGAAAATATATTTCTGTTAAGCAAAAAAACAGAAAACAGAAGCAGACTTCAGGATCCTTTCACCAAGACCATTCTATTTTTGTTCATCTATCTATCTCCTCATTCATTAAACATTTACCAACCACCTTCTCTGTGCCACACACTCTGAATAATTCCCACTGTCTAGTCTGTCTCCAGGTTACAGAGTTTTGGAAAAAGCAAGTTTCCCCAGAGATGATGAAATAAATTCTTACTCAAGTAGATTGAAAAGAAATGTTTCTAACATTGAAACCTCCTGAAAATTTAATTTATGATTTTCCTCTTGCTGATTTGACAGTAAACTCTTCCAGGGCTTTCAGCTCCTTTCCCATAATTTCATACCTTTAAGGAAATCAGGCAATACACTCACACCTGGCTTTAAAACACGGTCTCAAATCCCCTGATTTCAGAAACATTTTAGAGGTCAGTGCAACACTGCACAAACATGAACTAGATGGGCAGTATAAAACAAAGGAGTAAGTAGTCAGGATATCTTCATGGTTTGGAGCTTGCCACTAAATGACATTGGGAAGCAGCTGGCAATGGTTGGGAGGTGGTGCAAGAAAGGAGTGGAAGGGACAAAATGAGTCTATCTTCAGACATGTAAGGTTGCCATGAAGCAGAATATCCATGTGGAAATGTGTAATTTTATACTTCTATAAGCCATACCGTCATCCTTAGCTGCAATTTTTATACGTAAAGCACCAGGTCATAACATTTCTGAAGAGAACACTGATACTTTATGGTACAAAATATGGATAAGTTAGAGATGGAAGCAATGAATGTCTATCATAAACTCCAATACTAAGGAAGTTTGGGATTTTTAAAACATCAAAAGACACTAAAGCTATTCCATTTAAAAGTGTCTCAACATGTTCTTGCTGTGGTGAGAACATCCAGCCAGTCTGAGCTTCCATAGATAGTGTCCTTGGGCAGATGAAGAGTGCAAGTGCCAGAAGAATGAGGAAGCCAAAGAAAACCAGAAACCAAGCTAGTGTGTTAAACATTCCATGAATTAAAAAAAAAAAAAAAAAAAATTCCTTGAATTAGAATATACCACAGGCAAATTTTGTCCCCTGTGACACAATGATACTGGTAAAGCTTATGACAGCTTCTAACAGGAAGCTTGTCCATTTTAGGTGAATCTGATGTACATATTTTAAATCATCAGTTATTTAAGAAAGATTTATAGAGCACCAGCTGGGTACATAACACTGTGCTGGCAGGAATATAAAGTGCTATAAAACATGTTGGAAAGAACCATCTCTTTGTGTCTGTTAGAAAGAACTATATCCCTTGACTCAATGTAAATGAACAGTCTTCATCACTCAAAGAGATTCAAGTGGTCTCATGTCTTGTCTTCAAAGCACAGCTACAAATTTCAAAGCACTATTTTGATACTTACATGTTTGTTTCCAAGAGTAAAAAATGCACAAGTAAAAAATGAGATCTATTAACCCATTGTGTGACATTTGCAAAACACCAAATCTCTTTGTATTTAGGCTCATTACCTATAATCCAGGAATAAGAATATCTGCCCTATCATAAAGTTGTTATGAGGAATGGATGTGGAGTAAACAGAAATTTATAAATTTATTGCCTTACATCTTCGGCCAATTCATTTTACTGAGTGTCTAATATGAGCCTGTACTATACTGGGTGCTAGACTTAGAGATGATCAAGACAGGCTTCTTTTCTCATAAACTTCATCACTGGGGGAAGGGAAAGCATCCATGAGTAATTAAAGAGACCTGAACCAAACTTCTTCCTTCTACAAGAAACATTCCCCACCTCTTCCTCATCCCCAGGGTAGAGCTAAGTGCCTTTTCCCTGTATCCTTGGCACGATTTGGTATGTAATTCTATCACAGTGAATTTCAACTCTTTTCTTTCTTTCACCATATTATTATTATTGTTATTGCATTATAAGTGCTTAGATGGATGAGTGGATGAATGGCTTCAAGTAACATAGGCATGTTCAAGTTCTAGCAGAGCACTGAGGATGCAACTGCTAACTGTGCCTGGAGAGGCAGGAATGGGAGGAAGAGGCTCAGCAGGACATCACAGAGGAGATGTTTCACAAAGATAGTCTGCCAGATGGGGAAGAGAACAGCAGTGTCTCCTAAGAGAAAGCATTTCAAGCAGGTTAACCAGAAAACCTCCAAATATTTGTTTTTTGTATTTTTTAAGTAAGTTCATTGTATTAGAAAAAGAAATGAAAACATTGTCTTCCTTTTCAATTCCCAAGTGATTTCTGAAACAGAATCAATTACTAAAGGAAAATAATTTATTCTATCTATACCAGAAGAAAAAAAAAGATATAAGACATCCTCTCTGAAGCAAGTGGGAAATTCAATGCCACCTTTCAGCCCGGCTCAGCAGGCACTCTTCTGGGAATCAACTACTTATATATCCCAGTTCTCTACTGCAGCTGGGGTAGCCATGTGCCTGAGTGCTAGACAATGGAAGAGAGGGAGGTGCTACCTGTGGTTTCAGGCTCTGGCCCACAAAAACCTCTCACGTGTAATGCTTCATGCTCCTTCACCTTCTGCAATCTGGACACTGACATCCAAGGCATCCTCGCAGATGACTGAGCTTCCCTCAGGCTGGGTCCTTAAATGACCATGTGTAGCAGAGCCCACTTACTCAGAAACACACTGCATTGCTCAATGTGAGTGAAAAACACAGGGTACTAAACCACTGAAATCGGGAGGCTTATTTGTTACAGCAGCTGGTGTGACTAATACAGTGGTGTGTTGCCCAAATGAATTCTATGGAAGGGAGAGAATTGTGTAGAATTAGAACTGTTACAGCTGCATAACAGAGGGGGGACCTGAGAAGGCCTCTTAAGGAGATGTTTTACCACTGCCCTTTGAGGGAGGTGACTATGCCAGATACTGTCCTCGGCACTGTTATCTACCTCTTTATCCAAATGTCCAGCATACTGCTTGACATTTGATAGAGCTGAGATACAGATCTTACCTCCGCCTTCATCTCCCTCCCAGAAACCCAACATCCTAATCAATATACAAAATAAAAAGCTGATAAAAGAGAGAAGTTAAGGAGCTAAAAATATACCTTTAAATAAATCACAAGAGAGAAAAGTGATACATAGAAAAAAACAGGCCTATAATGAAGAAAATATGGTCATGATTGAAGCACTGGGCCAGGGTGACACAAAGCGTGGCTTTCTTTTAAATCTCATCAGCAAACATACATTTCTTGAATGGGGCAACTTTAGTTCTAAAACGTATTCTGGCTAGCATAATGGAGATATGATTGCTGGATACTCATTTCAGAGCCAACTCATTTTTTTACAGTTAAGGACTGACTCTGACATCAAGTACGGAAAGAATACTGCAATAAAATGCACTAGAATGCTGCACAATTACAAAACTTTTCTAAAAAGATACTGATTCAACTGTTATCCTCCATTCACAAATATTTTCAGGGTCTATTATGAACCAGGAACTAAGGTAAGAATTAGGAATAAAAAATGAACATGATCGGGCTTCCCTGGTGGCGCAGTGGTTGAGAGTCCACCTGCCAATGCAGGGGACATGGGTTCGTGCCCCAGTCCGGGAAGATCCCACATGCCGTGGAGCGGCTGGGCCCGTGGGTCATGGCCACTGGGCCTGCGCATCCAGAGCCTGTGCTCTGCAATGGGAGAGGCTGCAGCAGTGAGAGGCCCGTGTACTGCAAAAAAAAAAAAAAGAACATGATCATCTGCCTTTTTTCTAGAAATATTTAAACCAAAATCAATATTTTAAATATATTTTTATTTACTTTGATCCTATTTCCTAATATCAGAATTTTATAGAAAGTGAAAGAAATTGTTAAAATGCCATTTAAAATAAAACATACTGAAAATGATTCTTGCCATCATCTTTATCATTAGTATATAAATAGTAATGGCTTAGTTTCAGATTTGTTACCTCTAAATATTCTGCTCTTAAGTGAGAAACAATGTACAATCTACAGAAACAATTTTTAAAGCATTTTAAACTAATGCTATGTGCCCCACTGGAAAATGTGAATCAACTGTAAGAAAAAGGGAAAAATAGCTGTGATTTATTTATAAAACTAGGGCTTGTTGTTTAATATTAAACACCAGAGCATTAAGTATCCACCTCAATCCAAAT